AATCAATCAGTAAGGTGGGAGCATTTGATATGCTCAAAGGTGGATCCTTGAGGCTCTACTATGATAGTATGAGGGTTACTAAAGTATAATCCTTCAATTACCCATCTGTAGCATTTGTCATGCTCTTTTCTTTAGCCAAAGGCTAAACCCTAAAATGGGATTGCTAATCAGCATCTTCCTTGGTTGAATTTTTTTCTCAGAGGAATTCAATGTGGTCACATTCAATTTCTATTTTCCCATGCTCTCTATGAAGAACAATTACCCATGAGTACATCATATGAAATAATCACTACAAATAAAAAAGAAACAAGAAATGTTATAATGCATTCTTAGCTTCCATATTTTGTTAATAGATATTTTATGTGCCATATTATATGCAAGAGAACTTAAGTTGTGAGATTATAGGTAAGCCTCTTAACCTACTTTCATCAATTAGTGTAAGCAAAGACTCTAATAACTTTGCAATGGGATCTTGATTCAACAAAGTCCAACCTTGAAGAAAAATTACATTTGATGAATTCACGTTGATAACCAGAGCCCTAGAGAAACTTGATCTTCGGTAAGAGTCGAATGTTCCTTTGATTACTCACCACCTTCTTTCTTTTTGAACTTCATTCTTGCATTTGCTTGCCAAATAAACACTCTTAACGTTTTGAAGTGGGCATGCCAATGTATTTATTTATAATGTTCTCCATCCATATTCATAGAAAGAATGAAGAGTGAAAATTAAATGTATAGATAAAAACAAATGTAGCAAATGAAAGTCTGGATCAGTTGACCCTTTATCATCATATTTATTAGAAATGAAGGTTCTAATCGTTAAGAAAGTGATTCACAAATCAAAAATATCTTTAAATAAATAGCATATCTGACTTATTGATGAACAACTATTTTTATTATTATCCTATTTATTTTGCAGTCTTATTTTCTAAGAGGTAAAAGAATTGGGAAAATAAATATGTATGTTCAGACTACATTCATACTAAGATTATGTTGCACTAAGATAAAATTCTAGTTTCATCATCCCAATTTACTAAGTCAATATCAATGAGCTGCCAAGTGTAGCGTATCGAGTAAAGATCATTAAATGAATGTTCTCAATCAAGTTTGTGGAGTTTGTTCAACAATCCAGCCCAAAATCATTCTATAATATCATATCAATCCTACTAGAAAAAATACAACTCGCTGAAACGCCCTATTGGACAAGAGGCAAATTATGATAAGAGTAAACAAGCTAATAAGGATGTGATCAGATGAATGCGTAGAGAATAGTAGGAGAAATTTTGCTTCGTTAGAAGATAACCTATTAGAGATAATATTAGTTTGGTCAATGTTGGAAGAAAAAAGAGATTATGCTAGAGATCCCTAAAGCTCTATATGTAATGATCTTTTGTCTATATTTTATAGAAAAAGATTTTATTAATGTAAGGGTGAAAATATATGTAAAAAATGTTGAATATTTAGATTAAAAAATAACATTTTATTTTTTTTTGAGTAAACACAACTATTTCTTTTTTCAACAATTCTTTTATTCTTCCCAAGCTCTTCCCTTAAAGTGTGAACGAATGAAAGATTAGGATCCAATGGGTATATTTGTTAGTTGGGCGAACTATAATGTTTAAGATATTCTAATTTATATGTACTCTAAATTTTAGTAAATGAAATTAGTGTACTAATCGTAACTCTTGTTTATGTGTGAATCACACATGCTTATTCTTAGTAGAGTAATTATAGTGGTACTTGGTTTTGTGCATGAGCAATAACTCAATCCATGTGAAGACTTTCTTTATATTGATTTTTATTTTATACTCTTTGAGCTTCAAATGACATAACTATCAGATGATTGTAAAAATTATTATAGTACATTCTAATATTTAGACAAAATGTCTTTATTTTAGCTTTTATGTGGTTAGATTAGTTCTACAAAAAAAATGAACATTTTAATTCAGGTATATATGTGTTTATAAAACAATTAAAAATTATACAATTATTACATCAACTATGATAAGTTTACCATTTTTAGCTTTTATGTGGTTAGATTAGTTCTACAAAATAAATGAACATTTTAATTCAGGTATATAAGTGTTTATAAAACAATTAAAAATTATACAATTACTACATCAACTATGATAAGTTTACCATATTGTAGCTTGTATATTAAAAAGTTTCTTATTAAACTCTTTTAAAAGAAATTGAAGATAGAAATGGTATCAAAATCTATGTAATTAACCAATTGACTTAGTCATTGTAATAATGTTCTAAATGTGTTAATCTAAAATTTGGAGTTTCTTAGATGGATGGTAATTGTTATTCTTATGTGGCACAAATAAATTACCGTCTGTTGAAAGCAAAGAGTATGCAAGTTATCTTAGCTTACTGTTGAATGCTTAGTCTTTCAACTAAGAAGTCCTGAGTTCAAGGACATGAATATATGATGTACATGTGCTTGTGACCTAATATGTAGGGTGAATGACAAGACACTTTCCAAATTACAAATCAGCAAAGTTCTCAATATAGACACATACACATCTTTATCGACTTGTTTTTAATCTCTTTCTTTATTATTTTCTTACTATAGTGCTCTATTTTCATCTTTCTATCATTCTCCATATCTAAAATTGAACATGATAGTATAATATATTTCATTATTCAAGGAGCAAAATTCATTGGATAGATTTTTAAAAAAAGTTTTGTAAGGTTTTACCTAACATCATTAAATATTTATTGGGATGTGTTAAATATGAAAATTTTTAGTTGATTAATGAGGTAAAAATTTTATGTAAAAGCGTCCTACTTTTTAAAATCTTATTGCTTCTAATAGAAGTTTTTTGTAAGCAATTAATTGTATGAATTATATCCCATTGCAAGTCGGCAAAAATTGTCCTTCATCTACTCATGAATATCTGGTATAATCTCTTAGTTTCAACTTAAATTTAGAGCTCAAAAATTGATTTTCTTAATCTTTTCAAATCGTAATGATCATTTAAGAGTTTATGCTACTCAAGCATATATAACTTAACCATATATTATTCTTTTAGAAAACAAGAAAAGTGTGAAAGAATAAATTCTTAAATAGTTCATAAAGTTACCACAAAGTTCCTTCTAGCTATTAAGCCCCTTACAATTTCTAAAGTTAGATTCACTTCTGTGCTTAAACAGTGCTTAAGCCTGTATCACTTTCGTTTGTCTAGTCCTATTTGCTTGTCTTAATGATTTTGAGATCACACAACATATGTTACAGGAATAGGAGGAAGACTTTTATTCATATATCATATGTTGTATTATCTTATGGACATTAACAGATAAGGTATTATGTTTAAGAAAGAAAAAGGTGGTATAAATCTAACCGGTTGAATGAACAAAGTCGAGAGACGAGTTTCAATTTGTATGTCATGAGGGGCCATCAGCCAAGGAAACCCCAAATTTTCTTATAATTTAAGAGAACAGACTTTGAGTAGCAGCATTACAACATATATTATAGGTATGTTATTGAGAGCACATAGCCCAACTTTACAAATTGAAACTCACCATATGTGTGTGTGTATGTGTGTGTGTGTGTGTGTGTGTGTGTGTGTGTGTGTGTGTGTGTGTGTGTGTGTGTGTGTGTGTGTGTGTGTGTGTGTGTGTGTGTGTGTGTGTGTGTGTGTGTAAACAAGATATTGACGGATACATTTTAAAAAAATAATCAATGAGAAATTACACCAATTGTGACCATCCTTGAACTATCCGCACCAACCACAGCCACCACACAACTTTGTCATCTGTCGACCACCACCGGCAAATCATCACCACTGACACTATATTTACATTGAATTTATTTTTCTTCAAATCAAACAAAAATACATAGAATATTGCATTTATTTTACATTAAACATTAAACAGAAATACAATACATTAAAGTTGCTTTGCATTCCATTACAGCAAACCAAATAACCCCTTTGTGGCACACAATATTTACATTGAATTTGTTTTTCTTCAAATCAAACAAAAATATAGAAAATATTGCATTTATTTTAGATTAAACATTAAACAAAAATACAATACAGTAAATTTGCATTGCATTCCATTACAGCAAACCAAATAACCCCTTTGTGGCACACAATATTTGCATTGAATTTGTTTTTCTTCAAATCAAACAAAAATATAGAAAATATTGCATTTATTTTAGATTAAACATTAAACAAAAATACAATACAGTAAATTTGCATTGCATTCCATTACAGCAAACCAAATAACCCCTTTGTGGCACACAATATTTGCATTGAATTTGTTTTTCTTCAAATCAAACAAAAATATAGAAAATATTGCATTTATTTTAGATTAAACATTAAACAAAAATACAATACAGTAAATTTGCATTGCATTCCATTACAGCAAACCAAATAACCCCTTTGTGGCACACAATATTTGCATTGAATTTGTTTTTCTTCAAATCAAACAAAAATATAGAAAATATTGCATTTATTTTAGATTAAACATTAAACAAAAATACAATACAGTAAATTTGCATTGCATTCCATTACATTTATTTTTTTATTTTTTTATTTTTTTTTTCCTTGCTTTAGAGAGAGAGAGAGTGTGTGTGTGCCGCAAGCAAGCCTTGACCTGTTGGTGGCGGGGTCACTGTAAATCCCCTCAGGTTAAGAGTTCGATCCCACAGTGGCATGAGGGCTCTGAAATTTTAGGCACATGACGCGAGCTCTTATCATGAGGCCAAAAAACGCATCAGAAATTGGCACATGACGCGGGCTCTCATCATGAGGCCAAAAAACACATCAGAAATCAGGCCAAAAAACGCATCAGAAATTCACATTTGGGCCTCTGCTAAATATCGATTTTCTTTAAAAATAAAAAATATATATATCTATAGATAGATAACAGGCCCACATAGAATGAATCCACAGGCCACTGATATGAAAAGAAAAAAAAAAATTGTTCTCACAAGATAACGACTTTGAGCTGCATACTCATCACTTTCAAAATTTAAGAAAAATACAGCCTTACATCACAGGTGATTAACATCGCCATAAGGTAAAAAAAACCTTCTGCAACATGCCAAATTGCGAAACATGCAAGAAAAAGCATCTTTGAAAAATAAGTTGTATCCATAATTAAATAAGCAGTTAGAATACAAACTTGTGACATGAATGTAATAATATTTGAAAAACAAAACAAGCTTGTAAGGGTGAAGTCTATTTGAGCTCCACTTGTTCAGGGAAAAAGAGGATTGACCGCATTAGTTATGGTGTGAATAACAATTATAGTGTAGAGAAGAAGTCCAATGGCGCCACTTATGAGGGCTCCCATGACCTGGTTGCAGTACTTTGGGACCTCATCACAGATAGGAAGCCATCCAGCATGCTCGTTTCCCTTCTTCCCCACGTGCGAAATTGCTGCAGCTGCCGCCATTGCAGCCGTCAGTAGCATTGCAGTAATCTAAATGAAATCACACATCCAATTCAAAAGCCAATAAATACAAATTTATCTCATAATAAAAAAGCAATAGAAGCCAAGCAGTTGGTCTTACAACATCCAACACAACAACCCATCTTGAAATGAGACCTCCAGGAGGCACAAAGAGAGCAAGCAGACTATAGGCACCGGCAATGGCATTGGCTACAACGAAGAACCTGTAATCAAGGTTTAACTTTAGTAAATGCTCGCTTTGTGTGAGAGAGAATAAAGAAAGAACGGAAGTGTGAGAGAGACAAAAATAAATAAATAAATTGACTACGTGAAAGAGGGGGATTGATAAAACTCGGCCTTAATGGTGACGCCGAAAAAGGTGGTGGTCTCATGGCAAGTGGCCATGATTGATGTGGCGGCGATGGTGGCTGCCATAGCTAGAAATCTGAGCAAGTGAGTGCAGGGCCTGAAAGCCTTGGCCATTGTTGGAGTGATGTTGGCGGTGAATTGAGAAGTTAAGAGTTTAGGAGAAGAACTTGGAGGAGCAATTAAAAAGAGAAAATTGGAGGGGGTAGATAAGGGTGTTTAACTAAAGGAGGGAGATGAGAGGTTAGGATGGAACATAAGCGGGTGGTGGGGTCCAATTGGCAACCAATACCCAGCATCCTTGAAAGGTGCAAGGGTATTCAGGCGTGTAGCTATCATAGGTGTGAATATTTAGGCAACTATGTGACAAGGTTAGATTGATGACTTCTGTAGAGAATTTTCTTCAGGATGATGTAATTAAAGAATCAATTCAATATAACTTCTGGGAGATTTTTTTCTTTTTCTTTTTTTTTTATTTTATTTCTGGAAGTAGGGGGAAGAAGACAAAGGGCGTGCAGAGGTGGTTGAGGCGAGGCATAAATTTTTAATAGGTAGGAATAAGATGGATGATTAAAATCATTTCCAGTGCCATTTAGTACGGCTGCACTTTCAGTGTATCCAAATTTCCGTTTAATTTGCCAACACAAATACATCGCCTTCAGCAAAATACAGCAATTGATCATGCCATCCCTATATTTATCAACATCAAACACTTCAAGTTCTCCTAACAAAATCATCTAAAATATCGTTAAAGGCAATTTACATAGCTTCTCTTTCAACAACCCAGTTCTTCTACAGTAGCATTTTATGTAACAGCCAATTCAATAGTTCCTCTTATGATCTCATCAGCACCTGGGGAGTACATCTCATGGAAAAGGTCTATTTAGGGATATAGCTGAGATATATCTAAACAATAACTGGCAGCACAGAACTGCATAAGCACAGATCACAATGTGATAGCAGATGAGGTATTCACAATATTAGTCCCCCAGATTTTAGCAAAATATAACTACAGTTTTATAATAAAAAATGACTATTTTGTTTAAAATAATATAGCAAAATAGAGTTTTCCCTTCAAATCTGATTGTTAATAAAAAATGGACCCAAAAAAACGAGAAGGCTGTTGTTCCAATCTCATCTGCCCAGTAGTTATAGAAAGCACCAACTATCAGCTTCAGTTCATCTTCCAAGTGCAAGGATAAAAAATGTTTACTGTTCTTTTAGATGCAGTTATTATGTCTTTCCCTCCGAGTGATGGACCGACCCATACGCAAGCGTCGAGCAGTGAGGGCCTCAAGTAAGGCACCCAATGCATTCTCCACCTCTTCCGCCAGTTTATCAAGCCCATGTGAGTGCAGCTCCGGATGATGGTGAAGCTCTAAGAGAAGGCCAGCAGCAGCAGCTGCTGTGCAGGTTCTATCCCATGCCGGCTGCGGTCTTTATCATAAAACAGGCAAAGCAAAACATGCATTAGACGCTGAAAACCAAATTGCAAAATGAATTTAAAGGGGAAAGAAAGATGGTAAAAAGATTATAATGCCAAACCGAAGTTTATGCATCACTGATGCGCCAGTGCTTGAAAGAGAAATACAAGGTGGCTCTTTCTCCCCCCATGTAGCCGCCCATCTCTCCTGAAAGGAAACTATTTTTATTTGGGCCTTATGTTTGGGTGATATGTTCCACATTGTATACAGAAACGAATTTCATGAACTGAAATTAGTTTTGGGAGGACAGCAGCAGCTAGTTGGTGATTAGCCAATACACCATGTTGCAGTCAATTTTCATTTAAATTTAATTTGTTGAAGAAATATAGAATAATCATAAACCATAGCCATTTAGTAACCAGCAAGATAACTTCAAACTTTTTGTGGCCAAAAGGGAAATGGTACAGAAATTTCATGAAATTCAAGTTGAGTGGTACCTTCAAACGTCTATACATTGCAGCAGAATTGCTCCACGTGCCATCGATTAAGACAAAATTTAGTTGCTTTTGATGCTGTATTTCTAAAGATTAATTAATAGGTTAATTTCAAAAGATGTTTATCATTGCAAAAAAAAAGGAAAGATTTATGAAATGCTGAAGAGTTGGCCTGTTCATTATAGACAATCAGAAGAACAAAGAATAATAGTGTAGTAGAATGAAACCGAATGACTTGAAATCTTTCAGCTCAGTTTGCTTGTTCTGCTTGCTATGTTTAGATAGAGTTCAGATGGTGACAGAATTTGTCACAAAAGTATAGTTTGTTACGCAGGTACAGATTATGTGGGTGAGGTGCGCATCGAGGATATGATATATTGCAATATAGAGTTATGATAGCCCCTCCAGGTGTTCACTTTGTAGGCAGTAATAGCTTCTCCCTTAGGGGCTGTCTGGTTAAGTTAATTAGTGGTGTACTGTCCATTTTAACAAGGATTTTAAAAAATTTTATGTTTGGTATGAAAATTTACAAATACAATGTAAATTTTCAATGAATTTAAAGTTCACACCGTAGTTCATTTTGGCTGAATTTACAATTCGGTTGATTTGGCCGAATTTGGATTACACCATTCATGTAAAAAGTTATAGGCAAGCCGCCGCCGCCCGCCCGCCCGCCGACACCGCCCGCAGCCACAATCTGCTGCCCACCGCCACTTGTCGCCCTTTGCCCAAGTAAATACATTATTTTCAATCTACTTCAAACCAAACAAATAAATACAAAGTGCTACATTTATTTTTCAGTGAACCAAACAGCTTGAAAGTATTTCAAATACATTGTAATCATAGTATTCTGGAAATCTTTTGCATTACATGTCATTTTTAGCAACCAAACGACCCCTTATTGTTTGGAACTTGGTGGTGGATAGGCCTTCGGTAGATATGTCAGTTATTTGATGTTGAAATGTAACTTGTTGAGCATGAATGCTCTTGGATCTGTTGGCATCTCCAATGAAATGATGGTCTATTTCTATGTGCTTAGAGCGAGAGTGAAAAACAAGATTGTTTGCCAAAGCAAGAGCAGATATATTGTCATGGTGCAGCTTTGTGGGTGCAGAAACTGAGATGCTCATTGGCAGCTGTGGCAAGGGCTCTATAATTGACCTCGATATAAGGTTGAGCGATCATTGGCTGCTTCTTGATAGTCAAGGATATGAGGGTGGAACCCAGAAAAGTACAGTATTCAATTTGCGATCGGCGGAATACCCTGCCTCATCAGAGTCAGAGTATGCTTGGTGAGTGAGAGATCCAACATTGATGGGTAATCCATAGTGAAGAGCATCTTTGATATATCTTATGAGGCGTATGAGCAGCTGAAGGTGAGAATTAAGAGTATTATGCGTGTATTGGCAGTCTTTATTAACAGCTAGGGAGATATCAGGTCTGGTGAGATTAAATACTAGAGAGAATAAAAAATATGGTGACATTGTTCAGGCTGGGAGTATGGTTGGTCAAGTTGTGCAGTTTGAGACTGTCTTGTGGGTTACAGATTGAATAGAGGCTTGCAGGAATTCAAGCCAGCCCTGTGAACTATTTTCAGGGCATAGGTTGTTTGATTTAGATGAAAACTAAGTTCGTGGAGTGGCTTGAATGTCCAGAAAATAAGAAAGAGAATATAAAAGAGAAACCAGGTTGCACATCTGAAATTTGTGGCGGAGCTGATTGAGAATCTGAAAGATGCTAGTGGAGTTGTTTCCCGTGATGAGAATATCATCAACGTAGATCAGTAGATATATGTGATGATCATGATTGCAATATGTAAGAAGAAACGAGCCGGCCATGATAGTCTTTAAACCGAGGTGATTAGTGTTGTAAACGATCCGAACAGTGAGCCCAGGCCGTGTTCATGTTCAGCTCGGTTGATTCGTGTTCGAAATTATTTTGTAAACGATCCGAACAGTGAGCCCAGGCCGTGTTCGTGTTCAGCTCGGTTGATTTAAAAGCGGTTCGAAATAGGCTCGTGTTCGAAATTATTCAATTATTTGTGAACAGTATGTTCGTATTTGGTTTGAATTAAATTTGATTTGTTCGTTTTAGGCTCGTGTCCGACTCGAAAGGAGCTTTTATAAATTATAAAAATCTTATTTTTAATTATTTATTTGATGAAATAATAAAAATAATTATTCAAGTAATAAAAAAATTCATTATTTGATAACCCCAAACCAAATCCACAACAAAGCTATAAAAACCAGACAGATCTAGAAATGTAACAGCAACACTCAAAATTTAGCTCAATAATCTAAGAACGGATCTAGATAAATCCATAAGAATTGTGTGCTGCATATGAAAAATTCCCAAAAAAATTAACAGATTTTAGTGGCAATAGTCAAAAAGATTCAAAAACAAAAGGAAAAAAAAAGACCGCAGCGATGCATAGATCCAGATTTGGGAAGGAAATGGGGATAACAATATCACATTTTGAAGAATCCTTGGTTGGTTGGAAACTTGAAATCCACAAAACATTTGTTAGAAAGAAAAAAAAGAAGAAACCAAGTTCACAAAGAACCTTCTCACTTCTCAATGTGATAGTAAACTTCAGAGCCGCTCTTTACCTAAACAAAGTGATAACATAATCTCTCACCTTGGGATGGAAAGAAAAGTTTCACAGAATCACCGTCGCCCTTGCTTGGTCGCCCCCGTCGCCTCCCTCACAACAAAAAACCTGAACGAAAGAAAAAAGGGGCAGCTCGTGGTCGCAAATGCGTGGAATGTGCGGGTTTAGGATTTTATTCATATATGTTAGTTTTTTTTAATAGGAGTAAAATTTAGGGTTGTTGAATGTTGAAGAGATCCATTGGCTAAAATTTTATAATTATATTGTTTTAAATTATTTATTTATTTCGAGCCAAAACGACCTGAACACGATCGAATAAAGAGTTGTTCATGATCTGCTTATTTATAAATCAAGCTAAAAAAAATTATTTGTATTAAACTCGCTTATTTAACGAACGAATCACCTGAACACGATCGAATAAAGAGTTGTTCATGATCAGCTTATTTATAAATCAAGCTAAAAAAAATTATTCGTATTAAACTCGCTTATTTAACGAACGAATTGAACACAAGCTACTTATCGAGCCGAACACGAGTTGCTCAAGAACAACGAGCTTTTTTAACAGCCCTAGAAGTGGTGTAGGTAGTCATAAAAGGTGTTGAACAATTGGCAGTGTTATTATGAGCTCATAGATCACTTTCTATTGTAGGCAGACATGATCTGGATATTGAGGGTCTTTGAATCTGGGTGGTTGGGCCATAAGGACTATTTCAGGAGGAACGCCGTGAAGAAAGGCAATCAATACATCTAGTTGAGTGATGGACCAATGGTGATGTGTATTGAATGGACATTTTGCCCACTAGACTGAATTTTTCATGATAATTCATGTAATATTCCTGCTTGTAACCTTGGGCAGCAAATCGTGTTTTGTACCTTGCGATGGTGCCATCGGAAATGAACTTATTCTTGAACATCCATTTTCTGTCCAATACATTTCGTGAAGGATGTGGGGGAACTAATATCCACATTCCCTGTGCTAGAGGTGCATTAAGCTCCTCTGACAGCATTTATCCAATTTACATCATTGATGGCTAAAGAGTAGCAAATGGATGAATAAGTTTGCTCATTGTGGTGTACATATAGAGTGGTTCGAGGTTCAAGGGATCCGGTCTGTGTCCTGAAAACCATGGGATGCCTGGAGCTAGTGAAACTGAGCTCGGTGGAGTGGGATTGGGAGCCATATGTAATGTTTGTGAGGTGTGTGGTGGAGAAGAAACTGCAAGAACTGGGTTGACTTGGTAAGGGGTTAACTTTCCAGTGGAGGAGAGAGAAGCAGAAACTAGTGTGAGTGGTCGAATGTGAGATAGATTCTGATTGGACATGCTCATGAAAGATAACATGTCTGGAAATGATGATGTGGTTAGTGGTGATGTCAAGGCATTTGTATCCCTTATGTCAATTGGAGTAGCCAAAACATGCAAAATGGGTAGATTTGGGAACTATTTTGTAGATGGATTGAAGTGGCAGCCAGGGAAAGCATAACAACCAAAAGTTTTCAGTAAGGAATAGTTTGGTATTTTGTGATAGAGCAACTGGTATGGTGATTGGTTGTTGATTGTGGGAGACAACAGCCTGTTCATTAAGTAGTTATCTGTAGGTATAGTGTCCACCCAGAGAGGAGGAGAAAGGCAAGTTTCCAAAAATAGGACTCGGTAAATTCTAAGAGATTCCTGTATTTCCTTTCAACAACTCTATTTTATTCAGGACTGCAGGGGCAGCTGCGTTAATTCATAATTCCGTTAGTGGTATGAAAATTTTGAAATTTTATGCATTCTCATTCTCCTTCCCCATCAGTACATAAAATTTTAATTTTGGTGTTGAATTGGCATTGTGTAAGAACTTAGACATGGATTTTGATTTTAGTTTCATTGGGTATAACCAAATAAAACGAGAGTAGTCATCAATGAAGGAAATATAATAACGAAAATCATGCTTAGAAATAATCTGGAATGGATCTCATATTTAATAATATATAGCAGACACTCCTCCGGAGTTTTTCCCTACAGCATGTCTTCCTTGTCACGACCCAGCCCGGGGCATGGAATTAACCAAGGTGGGTACAAACGGTTGAAAGGTGCGAATTAATTTGTTTATATTCGTTTACATTTTAACAGATGAAAGAGTGACTATAAATTTAAATTAAAACGGTGCAATTAAAATTACCATGTTGAAAGTTGTCCGCGTCTTCTATAATTTTTTTCTCATTTATAGTTCATCTTTTAATAATTTAATTAAAGTTGAAAAGTCAGTTAAAAGAACTGTGAGCTGAAAGTGTCAATAAATATTTACTTCTAAACTACAAAAATACAAGAAAATAAAGAGCAACATGCATATCAGTTAAGATTCTTTATAAATCAATATAAACATTTGACATGTTATTTGATCTCCAAAGCTCAAAAATCGAAGGATAAATTCTATTGACTGATACTATCAATTGCTCTATTACTAAAACTATTTATTCAAAACT